TGGTGCCACCAAGAACTTAGCCATAACGTTTCCCTCGCGATCATCAGTTATATATTGACCCAAGCGTAAAATACTGGGGCGGTGGTGGAGAGGGGAAGCGAAGGGGAGGGTGGCGGCGGGGGAGGCAGCGTGGAGGGTGGCGGAGGCAAGGGGGAGGAGGAGGGCGGCGGAGGTGTGGGCGGCAGTGCCGGCGGGGTGGTGTGGAGGTGGAGGGCGGCGGCGGCGTGGGCGAGGTGGAGGGCGGCGGCGGCGTGAGCGGCGGCGGCGGTGTGGGGGTGTGGGGGAGGTGGAGGGTGGCGGCGGTGTGGGCGAGGTGGAGGGCGGCGGCGGCGTGAGCGGCGGCGGCGGCGGTGACCGGTGTGGGCGAGGTGGAGGGAGGAATTCAGATCGCGTTCCCAGTTCCTCGTTGTGACGACGAGTCGACGACGACTACGATGCTGCCGAAGAGGGCGCGCTGGCTTCGTGGAGCGGAGTGCCGTCGCATAAATAAATGAACACGCCAACGAGGGGAAAGAAAGAAAGAAAGAAAACAGACAGCCAAGAGGGGGGGGGGGGGGGAGAAAGAAAGAAAGTAGACAACCCAAACGAGGGAAGGGGAGGAGGACAGGGTCCCCACCTGCACGAGCAGGATTTTGGAAGGACCAGCGGCTAGTGTGAAGTGTGAGTGCCAGCCAGTGCGCGCCAGGTCCCGTGCCAGTGTGTGCGAGGGAGTCGCTGAATGACGAAAGCTGCAGCTAGAAAGATCGCCTCCGATGGACGCCCCGTACCACATGCATAGCGAACCGAGGTCGCAGCGCCGCCACATGCGTGGACGCTCGGCGCTTCTTTGTTGCTCCCTCGCAGCTGCAGCCGCCGGCCTGCTCGCTCTCTCGCTCGACGACGGCGAGTCCGGTCCCGCTTCTCTCTTGTGGAAGCCTCTGGCGACTCTGGGCATCAAGCTGGAGCCGCTCGACGTAGCGTACATAATTATCATCCGGCACGGCGAGAAGCCTCCAAAGGGCGAGCACGACAACGGGCTCTCCCCGGATGGAGCTTCCCGAGCCCGCTACCTCCAGCGCTGCATAGCGAGCCCGTACGCGAGCATCGCGTTCCCTCTCGGCGCGCCCACGTACGTGATGGCCAGCCACGGCAAGAAAGGCCGTTCACACCGGCCGCAAGACACCGCGCGCCCCGTGGCGGAAGCTCTCGGCCTCCGGCTGGACGATGACGTGCTCGCGCCAGGGAGGGAGGCGGGGGCCGCGGGCGGACGTGTTCACGGAGCGGCGGTGTGAGCAGGTCTTCCACAAGGACACCAAGGGTGCCGTGCGGCGGCTGCACCGCGTGCTCCAGCACGGCCCGCAGCGCGGCTGCTCGCGTGGCACGCCTCACGGCTTCCTCTCGATTCGAGCGGCTTCCCAATCTAGGCTCGAGCTATGCACGTACTCTCATTGATGTGATCGTGTCTAGATTCGACGGCTTCCCTGCCTAGGCTCGAGCGTGCTGCTAGCGTGGCACCACGGCTCGATCCCTGACATCATCCACGAGCTTCTGCGCGGCAGCGAGTACGAGAAGGGGGCGCTCGGGCGCTGCGGGTGTGAGCAGCGTCTCTTCACACCGGCAGCCGTGAACTATAGGTACAAGAAGGAGGCGCTCGGTGTCGTCGATCGGCACGGCAACCCGTCGCACTTTGGCGGCAAGGCGGCGAATAGACGTGCCCGAGACTCGCCCGAGACATCTCCAACACATGCCATGTCAATGTCAATGTTGTCATGTGCGCATGGTGTGCATGGTTCCAAGACGAGGCACGCCCGGGAGAGAGGCTCGCTGCGCCATTGTCTACATACGTTGCCGTGGCTGGCCGCGAGATCGGAGCCGCCGCCACTGCGGCCGCCTCCTCGGCGGCAAGCCGTCCCGCTGACACGCCGCTTCGCCCGATGGCAGTGGCCACACCGCTGCGGCGACGAGGCGTGGACGGCGCACCACAAGCGGCTGACCGGCTCGCGCTGCTACGACCTCATCTGGCAGGCCACAGACGCTCTCCGCCCCGCCCCCTCGCCGCCGCCCTCGCCGTCGCCCTCCGCCTCGTCACCGCCACCGTCGGCATTGCCCTCGAAGCCGCCTCCCCCCTCCCCTCACCTCCTCCTCCCCCTCGCCCCTCGCCCCCCCCCCCCCCCCGCCCGCCCGCCCCGCCCCGCCCCGCCCGGCAGGTGACTCTGACGAGGCCCGCCAGGGGCGGGACGCTGGAGATCGAGGAGGCGGGGGAGGCGGGGGAGGCGGGGGAGGGGGAGCGGCACGCGCGAACAGGGACGGTCGAGGCGACCGAGGCGGAGGCGGAGGCGGAGGCGGAGGTGGAGGCGGAGGTGGAGGCGGAGGTAGAGGCGGGGGCGGGCGGCGAGGCCGAGCGCGGGCGCGCAAAGCACACGTGGCGAGTCACGGCGCTGGGCAGCACGATCGAGGGGTACGTGGGCGGCGAGGAGGACCCGTGTGCAGAGGGGCTCGCGCCGACCAGCCGACTCACGCGCAAGAGCTGGTTCCGCCGCTACGTGTGGCAGCGCCTGTTGGGCGGCCTGTTTGGGCGGGGCGGCGCCGACGGCGCCGGGGCGCAGGACGCTCTGGAGGATGCGCTGCAGGATGGGCTCCTGACCGAAGACGACTTCGGGGAGGGGGAGGGGTACGACTACGACGACTACTACGAGGGGGATGCGCCGTAGCCGTGGCTCAGGGCCGCCCACGTGGGCTCCGTCGTTAGCCCTTGAGCCGTCACGCTGTAGTTGAGGCCTCGCCTAGCTTTGGCCTTCTCTCACACTTATCTTCCGGAACCGGAACCGCATACAATTCGAAACAGTCGCCGGGTATGTACACACACGATTTTCGATGGCGTATAGCGCGCGGGGGGATCTCTATCTCCTCGAGTCCTCATGCTAGCAGCGCGCGGGCGGTCTCGAGAGGCCTGGGCCCTGGGACGAGACACCAGTCACTGACGACGTTCCGTCACGCGCGTGCACATGTGCATGTGCATGTGCATGTGGCATGCGCATGTGCATGCACATACGGCTTTGAGTAATCGACGCCTTCCATAAAATTGGAATTGCCTGGCAGCGCCCCGGGGAGAGGAGAACACGCGACACACACCCTAACTATTCTCTCTCGCTTCACCGACCTCTTCGCAGCACTTCACACGGTGTATATTCCCGGGTCATGACACTGGGCGTCGGGGACTCTTGACGGGCGCTGGTGTGTCGCCGAATCTCTGGGCCCCGCTGGGCCCACGTCCGTCTCCGGTCCCTCGCACACGCCCCAGCCGCGCACGCGCCACGCATCGGCCGTCCCCTCGCCACGCCCCAGCCTTGCTTGCGTTCAGAGGGGTCCAAGGCTCCGCTCTCACCGCCTGCGACCTCGGTCTCTGCAGCTCAGTCCACCTTGATGGCGGCGTAGATCGCCCAGACAAACTTTTGGCACGAGTAGAAGCCGATCGTGCCTACTCATTCGTAGCTCACAATGACTACTAATGAACCAGTGTTGGCGCGAGCAGGCGCCGACCGCACCCGTGACGAGGAAGAAGAGGGTCGAGAAGACCGCCATGTACGTGAAGTACATCAGGGTGGGCACGAACCCGTCGATCTCGAGCTGCGAGTGAAAGTACATGATCGAGTAGCCAAACAGGTACAGCCCCGAGGAGCCAGAGGTGAGGAAGGCGCGCCACCACCAGTTGTAGTCCTCGTTGCAGAGCTGGAAGTAGCAGAGCACGATCGAGATCTCGGCGCAGGTGATGATGAGGATGAGCAGCACGAGCGCGAGGAAGCCGAACACGTAGTAGAAGCGCTGCGCGCGGGACACGGGCGCGGTCAGTCGCGGCGCAACCGCCCCAGCTCAGCCGCCTCGGCCGCGCTCTGGGCGGGGCTCCGGGCTGCACATCTGAAACCTGCAGCCAGACGGAGGTCATGATGAAGAAGAGCTCGATGAAGATGGCGCCGAAGGGGAGGATGCCGCCCATGAGCACGTTGAAGGCTCCGACCATGTACCACGCCTGCTCGGGCACCTGGCGCGGGATCTCGTTGGTGCGGCAGGGCGGGTCCTTGAGCTTCGCCTAAGACACGAAACGCGCGAGTCAGAGAAGAAGAAGTGCGCGGCGCGGGCGGGCCCGTTGGTTTTGGGCCTTGAAGCCGAAGAAGGCGCCGGCGAACACGAGTGGCACCTGGCGAGGCTCCGAGAAGGCTCGGGCAACGGCCCGCGCGAGGGGGGGCGCCGGCGAGGAGGAGAGCGACACGCCGAGCCACTTCTCGGCTTCTCTCCGCGCATCTCTGCGCATCTCTGCGCATCTCTGCGCATCTCTGCGCATCTCTGCGCATCTCGGCTAGGGGAGGGGTGCACCGACACGCCGAACCACATGAGGAGCAGCACCACCATCGTGCCGAACGGGATGGCGCCCGAGGACTGCTGGCCTATGAGACACTTCCTAGACACTTCCTAGACACTTCCTGGACACGTCAGGCGCCCGAGGAGTGCTGGCCCCAGATGAAGAAGTTGAGCACGAACAGGGTGGCGGCGATGGCGCCGGGGTAGAGGGTGGCGGTGAGCACGGTGACCAGCTTCCACTCGGTGCCCTTGAGTGCCTTGTAGGTGTGGGAGGCGCAGTAGCCCGCCGGCACGCCCATCAGCATGAAAGTGAGCAGCGTGGCGGTGAGCAGGCCGCCTGATGAGGAGGAGGGGTGGTAACAAGAGAAGACAAAGAGAAGAGTAGGGGAGCAGGCCGCCTGGTGACGAGGATGGGCTATGCTGGGCTTCAAGGAGGGCGAGGGAAGGGAGGAGGAGGTGCGGCAGAGGGTGCGGCAGAGGGCAGAGGGCAGGCTGGTAGCGGCGTGGCGGTGAGCGTGGCGGTTGAGAACGCCTAGGGTCGGCGGGGGGAGGGTGCCGTCTCGGCTATGTCTCGCCTCGGTTGGCGGGGGAGAGGAACCCGAGCATCGCGCAGCCGATGGAGACGACCGCCATCGCGAGGAGCTGCATGCCTGTTCATAGGAAGTGGCTAGGAAGTGGCTAGGAAGTGGCTAGGAAATGTCCTCCTCGCGAGCAGCTGCATGCCGGTGCCGAGAGAGGCGGAGAGGAGGATCGGCTGCTGCGGCGGCCTGCGGGACATGTCTCGGACATGTCGTGGACGTGTCCTGGAGGCGGAGAGGAGGGTCGGCTGCTGCGGCGGCCGGAAGACGTCGGCGTGCACGAGCTTCCAGCCAGACTCCTACGCGACTCCTCCTCCGGCGGTGAGCGGAGGACTGAGCCACCGGGGGGGCGGGCGATGGGCCCGTCGCCTCGGCGAGGTCGTCCTTGTCCTCGGGCGAGTTGTACCTAGCCGACGGCTGATCCGCGAGTGAGGGACTGACGCCTCTGCGCGGGGCGCCCTTGTGTGTGTGGCGAGTGTGCCGCGACACGTCCCTCCTCAGCGTGCGCATCATGATCATGGCGACGATGCCTGCTCAGAGCGGGCGGGTGACTCCTTCCCTCCCTCCGGCGTGCGCATCTCACACCCCGCGCCAGAGATGGGGAGAGATGGGGAGAGATGGGGAGAGATGGGGAGAGATGGGGAGAGATGGGGAGAGACATATCACGCGCCGGTGAGCAGCAGGACGATCGCGAGAGAGTTGATGATTGAGAACCTAAGGAGTCGTCAGTTCTTCGTCACTGATGGTCAACTCTCGAGTAGGAGCGAGAGCTGGTGAGGGAGAACCTAGTCGCAGCCAGGGTATGACCCACCCCCCTTCCTCCTCCTCAGGAGCGGCGGGCGGGCGGGGGAGAGGACCAGTGGATCTGGTCGTCCCCCATGTACAGGTACAGGTCCCAGCGACTCGCCCACTTGACGTCCGACGGCTCCCACTTAACGTCGTACGTGTACACCACCTATCCACGCCATCTCGCCCCTCCTCAGCTCACCGGCCCTGTCGCCTCACGCCGCACGCGCAAGCCGCCTCTCGCTCCGCAGCGCTTCCCTTTGGGTCCACTCGCAGCGGCGGCAAGTCGGGCCTATTGCGAGTGCACAGTGCGTAGAGTGAGCTGCTCCCCCCTCACTGTCCGCTCGCAGCGGCGGCGAGTCGTGCCCGACGGGCAGGGTGAGGAGCTGGAGCTGGGAGGCGTCGTCAGACCTACACGGGGAAGGGGTCCGAGAAGGGTCCGAGAAGGGGCGCAAGCAGGAGGTGCGAGGAGAGGACGGCGGCGTCGGGACCAGGCGCCCTTGTACTTGTGCTTGACGGAGAGGGGCTCGACCTACCCCCGGCGTGTCACATGTGCATGGCATGCACATGTGCATGTGCATGTGCATGTGCATGTGCATGTGGTGCATGCACCCGAGAGGCACCAAAAGAGGCACCCGAGAGGCACCAAAGAGGCACCAAAGAGGCACCAAAGAGGCACCCGAGAGGCACCCGAGATGTGCCCGAGATGTGCCCGAGATGTGCCCGAGATGTGCCCGAGATGTGCCCGAGATGTGCCCGAGGGGGTGTCCTCGCGTGTGGTCGACTGAGAGTGGCTCGCCCTCGCGGGAGGAGGGGGAGACCGCGTGTAGTGGGAGACTGGGGGCGGGTGTGGGACGAGTGGCGGTGGAGTAGTTGCACGCCTCGAACCCGACGATCCGCGCGCCGTCGAACGCCGCGTCCTTGTGGTACTTGAGCACGAACCTAGTGCGTGGGCAGGTGGTTGTGCAGGTAGGCGCCGCCCGGGTGATCTCGGGTGATCTCGGGTGATCTCGGGGGATCTCTCGGCTACTCTCGAACCGCAGGTGGTTGTGCAGGTAGGCGCCGCCCGGGTGATCTCGGGTGATCTCGGGTGATCTCGGGTGATCTCGGGTGATCTCGGGTGATCTCTCGGCTACTCTCGAACCGCAGGTGGTTGTGCAGGTAGGCGCCGCCCGGCACGGAGCCCTGCCGCTCTGCAGACCCGACAAAGCCGAGGGGGTAGCCGCGGTCGTACCTGCGGAGGAGCCAGGGGTGGTGGAGAGGTGGAGGCGGAGGTGTGTGGGCGGGGGGTGGTGGAGAGGTGGCGGCGGAGGTGTGTGGGCAGAGGGCGGGCGCGGACATGACAATCGTCTGGCCGTCGGGGAGCTCGCGGATCATCTTGGTGGCGGCGGGCAGGTTGTCCATGATCATGTGCACGCGGTAGTCCTGCCGGATCCGCGTGTGCAGCAGCGTCGCCTCTGCAGGCTCGAGAGTCCGCTTGCAGAGCACGCGGAACTCGATCTTGCCCATCGATATGTCGTACGCCGAGTTCTTGATGACGGAGCCGTGGAGCACCTCGCCCAGGTTCTCCATCTTGTTGACCACCTCGGCCGGGCGGCAGAAGGGCAACGAGTAGTAGTCGTACGGCAGCTGCGTCTTTGTCGACGAGAGTTTGTTGACCTGGCCCACGAGGGAGGGGTGTGCGCCGGGTCGGCGGCACGGCGTGCGGCCACGGGCGGCGCGGGCGGTGCACTGCCCGCGCGGCCGGCCTCTCGCGGTTGGGTTGCCGGCGCTGGTGCGGCGTGTGCGTACGGCTGCGGCAACGGGCGCGAGGCTGCAGTGCGGTGTGGTGGCGGCGGTGGTGGTGCGGCGGCGGTGGAGCGACGGCGGTGCGCGCCTTGATCTCAACCTTTTCGTTGTCGAGGTACTCGTGAGGGGCGACACCGGGCAGGTAGAAGGCCGCGACGGGCGCCAGGAGCAGCCACACCCGAAGGAAGACCAGACTCATGAATGCGGAAGTTCAGCCGGCGCCCTCCAAAAAAGAATTCTAAAACTACTCCAAGTGCTCCTGGCACGAGAAGGGCGCGGACTGGCGCGGCACAGAAAAGAACACGAGCAAAGCACAGGACTCTGCCCATAGGGGTGGTTGAGGGGTTGAGGGTTGAGGCCCCCCCTCAACCATCTGGTTGACGGTTGAGACCCCCCGTCAACCCTTTAGTTGGGGGTTGAGGCCTCCGGGGCCTATTCACAGGCTCACGCGTAACACAAGATAAACTGGAACAGCCCTGCCGCCCAAAAATCGCTTCGCGCTCTTGCGCTCCTCGTACCTCGAGCGTACGAGCGCAATCCATAAATGACCCCCAGAGAGTGCTCAACCAATACCAGAAAAAATCAGGGAGCCTCAGAGAGTGCCACTGCCATCACCCAGGCCGCGGGAGCTGATCGGCTGCGCCGAGGACAGCTCCCTTGGTGTGCTCCGCGGCTCACCAGTGTGCGCCGCGGCGCCGTCCAGCCACTTTGGCGGCCAGCCACCGGTCGAGTTCTTCGACTCTGGAGGACAGAAAGGTACCGTCTGAAAGGTATATTTTCATGCTCTATTGACTGGCGAAAAAATCCCCCGCCAAATGTTTTCACAGCGGGCGTGATTCACAGCCTCTTTGTTGAGAAGAAAATACCTCCTATGGCGCTGTGCGCTGGCCTGTGAGAGGTTGAGGTGCGAGCCCTGGAGGCCCTGGGGATGGGGGGGGACTACCCGCGGGCTTAGAAGGCCCGCGCGCAGGGGGGTGGGGCATTGAGACCGGTCATGAATGATTCACACCGAAGCATGAGTGAAGCATCGGGTCGCAAGAGGCAAGAAGGCCCGCCCGTCACAGTCTCAGCGCGCACTCTCCCCCGCTGGGCCAACTTTCTCCATACAAGAAGAGAGAGAGAGAGAGAGAGAGAGAGAGAGAGAGAGAGAGAGAGAGAGTACGTACAAGAAAGATCTCAAATATCGCTGATCGAGGATCAAGAGCGAACACAAAATAACCCATCCCGACTGTACGGCGAGCTGTTTTCTCGCTACAGGGTAGCGGTACGGGGCCTCGGGTCGGGGCGCCGGAGAGCCTAGCGGTATCGGTACGGCGCGCTCGGTGTGAAGCGGTACGGCCACTTTCCTGCGAGCGAGTTCTTTACCAGGTTGCAACCCTTGTTCCGCACTGTGCTGTGAACAGAGCACCAACCAACAGCTCTCAGGACCCCCCGGTGCTGGGGTGCTGCCAGCAACCAACCAAGTCGAGCGGAGCAGCGTCGTTCCGATGTTTCGGCGGGCACTTCTCACTCACCTAAGTCCTTGTGGCGGGCCGCCAGGCCCGGAAGCAGATGCCGACGAGGATCAGACACGGCGCGCTATCTGGGCTCGGAGGTCGGCAAAAAGGTTGCGCAACCGACACCAGCGACCAGGATCGTCGATCGAGGTAGGTGCACGCTGCTGAAGCAGTGCACCTACATAGTGCGGGACCTGGGGCAGCAACCAACAACCTGGATGGGGACGGGGTGCTGCTCAACCGGCGGCAAACAGCAGCGTTCACAGCCGAGTGCGGAAGAAGATTTGCCAACAATATACCTACAAGCGGAAGAAGGGTTGCAACTTGGTGGGGGGTTTTTGCTAAGGTGTAGATCAGGTTCCACAGCATATCGTCCCACACGTAGCTCAGCGGTCAGGTGAAAAGGGGTTTTTGCTAACGGCCTCCCACACACGCCACCCACACCGGATATGTCTTGGGCATTTTTCGCACTTTTCTTTCTACGTCGGTCGGGGTCCCGTGGATCGATTTTTTCAAAGTGAAAAGACAATAGTACGGCATAGAAAAACTGCAAAACAAAAGATGCGTTCTAGCTCGCCGCGAAAGCAAACAGAGGAGGGCGAGGAGGAGTGATTAGCACGCGTCCTCTGCCACCGTGCGCGTGTTATGAGGTGGTGCGAGAGAGCCATTTGCGTGCGAGCCCGTGCCCCGTCCCGCCACCCGCCCGCCCCGCCCCGGAGCGCGACAAAATGTGAAGGGTGGGCCACTTGTGTTGAGGGATGGCAACCCAGGTGGGTGTCCTCCGCCTCCAGCTCAGCCGCCGCATCGAGCTCCGCCTCATACGCGTGTGGCTGTGGGCGACGGAGCCGCCGCTGCGGCCTTCCGCCGTCGGGGCGACGGCGACGGCGGCAGCGGGCCGGGCGGCGGCGGCGACGGTGGCGGTGGTAAGGGCGGCAGCAGCGAATAAGGCGGCGGCGAGGGCGGCGGCGGCGGCGGAGGAGGCGGGCTCGGTGGGGGCGGCGACGGTGGAGGCGGCGGGGCGGCGGCGGTGAGGGTGGCGGCGGTGAGGGCTGCGGCGGTGAGGGCTGCGGCGGTGAGGGCTGCGGCGGCGAGGGCTGCGGCGGCAAGGGCGGCGGCGGCGGCGAGAGGGGGAGGCCACGACGGCGGCGGCGGGCTGCGCGGCGGCGGGCTGGGCGGCGACGACGACGACGACGACGACGACGACGGCGGCGGCGGCGGCGGCGGGCTCGGTGAGGGCAGCGACGGTGGAGGCGGCGAGGGAAGCGGCGGGCTACACGGCGGCGGCGAGGGCGGCGGCGGCAAGGACGGCGGCGGCGAGGGGGGAGGCGGTGACAGCGGCGGCGGGCTGGACGGCGGCGGCGACAGCGGCGGCGGCGGCGACGGCGATCTGCTTCTCCTCGCGGCCTCCGTCGATGGGATCCTGTCGGCAGCCGGGCGGCGGCCGGACGGTTCGGTGAGATGAGAGGCGCTGCCGAGCGCGGAGTGGGCGCGGGGGGTCCATCGGGGATGGCTGGCGGCCGGGGGCGCAGACCCACACCGTCATGCTCGGTGTCGGTGGGTCCCACGGATTGAGCGTGTAGGTGTGTGGTCGTGAGGCTCCCACACAGCGAGTCCCGGCTCCCACGTGTGGAACCTCCGTGTGGGAGGCGTGTGGAACCTTAGCAAAAACCCTCAATTCGTACTCGCTGGCCGCACCGCGCGCCTCTCCTCCGATCGCCCACAACGCCGCCGCCGCCGCTTGCGCTCTCCGAGTCGCTCCAAAATGGCTCACCGCGAGTCGCCCTCCAAAGACGAGCTCGTGCTGATCCCAGCTATCCGCAAGGACAGCACAACTGGATACAAGTGCGTGAATTACAACCGCGGCGCGAAGAAGTTCGAGGCAAAGGTGATGGACGGCGGCAAGCGCATCTTTATCGGCCAATTCGACACCGCCGAGGAGGCGGCCATCGCCTATGCTCGCTCAGAGTACGGCCGTGCTGACGCGGCCAAGATGAAGCAGACCCGCCCCGCTCCGTCTGCGGTTGGCGCGGCCGCGGTTCGGCAGGCGGAGAAGGAGGGCCTCACCCTCGCCACGAGCGCCAACAAGAGCGGCTACAAGGGCGTCTTCAACAACCCCAAGGAGCACGGCAGCAACAAGTTCACGCTGCAGGTGAGGGATGGCGGCAAGCTCGTCAACCTCGGCCGCTTCGCGACGCCCGAGCAGGCGGCGCTCTTCTACGCCCGCAGGCGGGCGGGCAGGGACACCACCGATCTCACCGCGCCGCCGCCGCCCGCGCCGCCGCCCGCGCCCTCCTCCGCCGCCGGCGCCGAGGCGGTCAGACAAGCGGGAAGGGAGGGCCTCACCCTGGTCACCAGCTGCAACAGCAACAGCGGCTACAAGGACGTGAGCCGACGCGCGAGCAGAAAGTACAAGCTGCACGTGTGGGAGGGGGGCAAGGACGTCCACCTCGGAGTCTTTGGCACCGCCGAGGAGGCGGCTCTCTTCTCCATACGACAGGCTGAATTGTCAGCCATCAACGACTCGTGACTAGCTGATGGCCATTCGTAGGCCGCGCTCGCGCGCGCGCGGTACAACATGTTGCCGCCGGAGCAGGCGTCGCCGCGGGCAAGGGCGCTCGGCGGTGTCCTGGAGGGCGGGCGGCGGGACAGCTCGCGCTGCCGGGACGGCTTTGGGGCGGGGGGCGCAGCGGGGCCGTCCGGGGCGGGCTGCGAGGAGGAGGAGGGCCTCGACCCGGCAGACGTCATGGCCGGTGCGGTTGCACTCTCGCTGCTCGCCGACCGGCCGCCTTCTTCCCCGAGCGGGCAGAGGGCGACAAAGCGGCACGCGCGCGGAGCAGCCACACCGAGGGCGGCGGCGGCAGCGGCGGCGGCGGCGGCGGGTGCTGCCCCGCCGAGCGACGACGAGGCGGAGGCGGAGGCGCACGGGCGCGCCGTCGCCGCGCAGGGCGGAGGTGCGAAGAAGAGAAACCGCGCTGCCGCGCAAGCCTCTACATGACTTCTCTCTACGTGTTTGTGGTGGCACAGCGCCAGTACGTTCATTTCGGTCACCACTCCGCGCGGTGCATTCGGACCCACAAGAGTACATTGATTGCGCATCCGCATATGGAGCGCGGGGGGCGCCCTGAGATCGGACTTGTTAGCTTGTGTACGTATAGAACCGTGTGTTACGAAGGTGGTACGGGCAAAACCAACTCTGTAATATATCGTGGTACAGGTAATATAAAAAAAGAATTGGGACCACACACCGACCGCCCGGCGTGCGCTCCCCAGAGCCGAGACTCATACAAACACCAAGGCGGCGCGCGTGCGACCCGTTCGTGGTCTCACTTCGAGTAGCCGCTGCCCCTTCGGTAGATTGGGACGGGCTCCGGCGCCGACCACTCGTCGGAGTGCGCGCGGCGCAGCAGCGACACGGCGACGGCGACGCGGGCCGTGGTGGGCGCGTCGCCGACGTAATCGAGCCACAAACGCCGGGCGGCGGCGTGCGGCCAGAGCGGCTCCTCCTCCGCTGGCGCCTCAGTGCACCCCTCCTCGTGCGTCTCGACCGCCCGGAACGTGCCGCGGAAGCCGCACCCCCGCTCGCACTCAAACTCGTCCGCGCCGGCTCCTGCCTCGCCCTCCGGGTCGCCCTCGGCCGCCGACTCGCCCTCGCCGCCGCCCGCCCCGCCGCCGCCGCCCCTCCCGCCGCCCGTGCGCAGGTAGCTCCACAGCGCAGCCTCCAGCTGCAGGAGGAGGGCGCCGCACTCCGCACCGCTCGACGCCGCTCGCACCGCGGCCTGCCACGCCGCCTCGCCAGCCGCTGCCGGCGGCGCAGCGGCGGGCGGCTCTCCGACTCGCTCTCCTACTCGGCAGAGGCCGTCCCGAGGTGAGCGTGAAGCTTCGCGCCCGCCGGCCCCGCGCGGCGACTACGGCGACCGGCCGACTCCTCCGCCGGCGAGGGATCGCCGACCCCCGCAGCTAGAGGCTCTGGCCCGATGGCTGCCTGCGCAGCCAGCAGCGCCTCGCGCGCCGCCGGCAGTCCGAGTGGCGGGTCGCGGGCGCCGCGCGGCTGCGGGCCGTTGCGCCACAGCGCAAAGGGGCCTTCGATCTCCTGCAGCCGAGATGAGCCGAGATGAGATCTCCTGCAGCCGCGTGGAGAGCCGCCGCCGAGGCGCAAGAGGGGGGGGGGGGGGCGAGGGCGGGGGAAGAGGGGGGGGGGAGGGGGGGGAGGGAGGGGCAGCGTGGCGGGGCCAGGGCTGAGCGTGGTGGTTGCAGCGGCGCAAGAGGGGGAAGGAAAGGGTGGTGGGTGGGGTGGGGTTGCTCCTGCAGCCCGTCGGCTGGCCGCGCCTCGAGCTTCGCGACGCCGGCGAGTAGCTCGTCCTCCTCGAGGTCTTCCTCGTCGCCTGCGGGCGGGGCAACCTCGGCGGATCTCGGCGGACCTCGGCGGACCTCGGCGGACCTCGGCGGATCTCGGCGGATCTCGCCGTCGTCGTGCTCGACGTGCCACAGCGCGGGCTCGTCCTCCGACGGAGGCAGATACCGGACCACGCGCGCCTAGGGACACGTCCAGGGACACGTCCAACACGTCCAGGGACACGTCCAACACGTCCAGGGACACGTCCAACACGTCCAGGGACACGTCCAACACGTCCAGGGACACGTCCAACACGTCCAGGGACACGTCCAACACGTCCAGGGACACGTCCAACACGTCGACGACATGTCCGGAGCATGTCTTCCGACGGTGGCAGAGACCCCGCACCACACGTGCCTCCTCGCCGGCCGATCTCGGCTGATCTCGGCCGATCTCGGCTGATCTCGGCTGATCTGGGGTGATCTCGGCTGATCTCGGCTGATCTCGGCTCGTCTCGCGCGTCTCTCGCCGCCGCACCACGCATACCCGGCGAGGGGGCCGGGGGGGGAGGGGGGGGGGACGCCGCCTCCTCCGCCTCCTCCGGTGATCCCGAGCGATCTCGGGTGGTCTCGGGCGATGTCGGGTGATCCCGAGCGATCTCGGGTGGTCTCGGGCGATGTCGGGCTGGTCCCGCGCCTCGCTCTCGCCGACGCCGGCAAAGTGCAGCACCACGCGCGCGCCAACGTGCGGCCCTTCGCTCCTCCACGGCCCCGCGGGCGGCGACGGCGCCGGCTCATCGGCCAGTCGGAGCTGCGGCAGCGCCGCCTGCAGCGCGAGATTGGCCGAGATTGGCCGAGACTCGCTCTGGCGCCACATTGGCCGAGATTCGCCGAGATTGGATCTGCAGCGAGATTGGATCTGCAGCGCGGGATCAGCCGAGACCAGCCGAGGATCTGTCTCTCGCGGCTAGAGTCGCGGCCTGCAGCGCGCGCTTGAGCGCCCGCTCGTTGACGCCGCGCTCGTCGAGCGACGCGACCAGCTGCCTCACCTCCTGCCGGCTGCGGTAGAAGCGCCAGCTGCTCCCTCCCTCCGCCGCGGGAGGGGGCGGCGGCGGCGGCGCTCTCTCTGCCGGCGACGGCGCCGGCGCCGCCGCTCTGCCGCCGCCCCGCCGGCCCTTGCTGCCGCGGCTCGGCGTGGGCGGCGCGGGCGGCGGCGGCGGCGGCGGGGCGGCTGGCCACGGGGCGGTGATCTCTTCGACATAGAGGCGGCCGCGGCCGCAGCCGTCGCCGAGCAGCCAATAGCGGTTTCTCTGCCGGTCGGCGCCGAGCGCCTCTGCGCGCAGAGGCAGCGCTGCGAGCTCGGCGAGCTGCGCGCGCTGCTGCGCGGCCTGCGCCATGCCGTCACAAAAGTCAGCGCGTGCGGTCGCAGCCAAGGCACCGCGTGAGCACTCGGGCGGAGAGAATACAGCTCCGCCCAGCTCCGCCAGTCAACCCAGCTCAACCCAGCTAGGTCCTCATCATTCCGCATCTAGGCTGGCGCGGCCTGCTGCTCGCGGGCGGACAGCCGGGCGAGCAGCGCCATCGCGGCGGTGAGCTCCTGTTGGCAGCCGCAGCTGTGAAGAGGCTTCGTGGGACTGCCGGCGGCGAAATTGCGGCCGGTCGGCTCCTGGAAGCGCCACGGACGGCCGCCGCTCCGGCCCTGCATGCGCGCGGCCACGCCGAGCCGGACAGCCTCCTGCTCGCAGGGGCGGTGCGGGGGGAGGAGGCACGTCTCTCACGCCCGCAGCGGGGGAGGGGGAGGGGGGGGGGAGAGGGGGGGTCGGTGAGGAGGGGGGGGGGGGGGAGGGGGAGCCCCCCCCCCTTCCCCCGGGGGACAGAGACACAGACACACACAGCGCCCACACGCACACACACACACACACACACACACACACACACACACACACACACACACACACGCTTCGACTCCCACTTCACTTCGCTTCCCCCCCTCCCCCCTCCCCCTCCTGTTCCCGCCCCCCCTCCCGTCCCCTTTCCCCTTTCCCCTTGACCCCCGCGCGCCTCGTCGGGTGGGGGATCGGCCTCCTCGTCCTCCTTCCCCTCCTCCTCCTTCCGGCCCTTCTTCTTCTTTGCCCCGTCCGCGGCGCCGCCGTTGCGGCCGCCGCCGCCGCCGCCGTCCGCGCCCTCGCCGCCGCCCGCGCCGTCCGCGCCGTCCGCGCCGTCCTCTCCGCCCTCGTCCTTGGCCGCCTTCTTGGCCGCCTCCTTGGCCGCCGCCTCGGCCTTTCCCGCCTCCCGCTTCTCCTTCTCCTCCCGCCTCCGCTCGCGCTCCTTTTCGAGGACGCCTATGCGACGCGCAGAAGAGCAGCCTCCGCACGCAAGGGCACGAGCCTCCCCTCCAGCCCCCGAGGCTGTCGAAGGCACGCGCCGCTCCGCCCCTCGACGTTGCGCTGCAGCTGCTCGCGTATCGCCGCCGAGGCGGCGGCCTCGTCCACCAGCCAAGCGAGCAGCGCCGTCTTTGCGCGGAGCGGCAGCTGGTGGTGCTCTGTCGCGCGCAGCAGCTCGCTCGCCTGGAGGCACTCATCATCGACGAGTTGACTCAGCCGCTGGCTCGAGGGGGGGTGAGCGTCTCCACACGCACGAGGTGGAGGGGCAAGGGCCAGGCTAACCCTCGCGACTCCACGTCTAGAAAGACAGGAGCCCCACACGGCAAGCAAGCGCAAGGCCCGTGCGCGAGGGAGGCGTGTGTGTGCGTGCGTGCGTGCGTGGGTGGGTGCGTGTGCGTGTGTGTTGGTTCGCTCGCCTCCTCCAAAGGCGCGTCTGCCGCCGCCGCCGCCGCGCCGCCGCGCCCCGCAGCGAGCCAGCGCAGCAGCAGCCACCGGGCAGCCTCGGGCCAAGCCCCGCCTCGCAGGGCGGAGCGCGGCATCAGCCGCACGTCCTCCTCCACCCTACACCCGCGCCACGCATCTCGCTCGCTGCCGCCCGCCGCGCCGGCCGCGTCCGCCGCCGCGTCGAGCAGCGGCCGCAGCAGCGCCGAGTGCAGCTCTGCCAGTAAGTGCGACGGCCGGCGGTGCAGCAGCGCCGCGCGCAAGTCCTCAACCTACTCTCGGGTCGCCTCGGGTCACCTCGTGCAGCCGTTGGTCCTCTGCCCGCACGCACCGTGCTCCACCTAACGCGGCAGCCAGGGTCCGTCCTCTGCAGCAGCTCTGCCGTGAGAGGCTCTGTGGGTCGAAGTCCCGGCCGAGTCTCCGGGCTGCTAGTCAGCTCAAGGCAGGACAAGTCTTGCCGCGGCGTCAGGCACGCATGCGCGTGGTCAGGCTAGCGTCGGCGCCTCGACCGGCGCGAGCGAGAGGGCGGGCCCAAACGAGGCGACGAACTCGCTCGCCTAGCTGACCAACGGACCAACTGGCCGACTCACTCGTTGACCGAACGAGGCGAAGACCTCTCGCTCGCCATGAGCAGCGGCCCGCTCGTCGGCTGCTCGCGCGGCGTCAGGTTGAGACGGTAGCGCGGCGTGGGCCACGGCGCGAGCGGCGGGTCAGCGGGCGGCTCTGTGGCAAGCAGCGCGTCCGCGACGGGGTACCGCGCCTGCGTGGGCAATCTCGGGTGATCTCGGGTGATCTCGGGTGATCTCGGGTCGTCTCACGGGAGCTGTGCCGGTGTGTGTCCTGTGCGCCCGTGGGGCGTGCACGCGTGTGTCACGAGCCGGAAATCTCGCAGCGACCTCGCGCTCATCTCGTGGCTACGCCAAGTCTCGGCTGTCTCTTCGCCTTCTCTCGGCTGTGTCTCGGCCGTGTTTCGGCAGTGTCTCGGCCGTGTCTCGCCGCATGGTGTCAGCCCCAGTCCCCCCCCCCCCCCCCTCACCACCACCACTCGTCCCTCCTCTCGGCTCCCATCTCTCGGCGGCGTCTCTCGCCTCGCGGGCGACGGCCTCCTCCTTCGCGGCCTTGTCCGCCTCCCGCTGCCGCTGCCGCACGCGCCGCTGCTCCAAAGCCGACTCCTCCACCGCCAGCCTACCCCGCCGAACAGTAGCTCCGCCCTCACAGCTGGGCGCGGCCTCGAGGCCCGCCAGGCCCGCCCCCTCGCCTCTCGAGCAGCTGCAGCAGCTGGTGCGGCTGCCGGCGCGCGAAGCTCGTGATCTGCTCGCGCAACTTCAGGTAGCCGCCACCGCCCGACGCACGCAGCTTCCTGTGCGGGGGAGAGAGAGGGGGCGGCGCCGTCGAGTCGCCGCGGCCACGCATTCGTAGCATGTGGCGCAAGTGCGTCTGGCGTGGCATTCCGGCGTGGCATCTAGGCGGCGCTTCTTGCTCGCCGATGCGAGCTCACGCGCAACGGCCGCCCGCTCCGCCGCCGCGCGCTCCTCGAAGGAGGCGCGCACCTGAAAGGGGGGGGGGGGGGCGTCTGCTCCGCGAGGGGTCTGTCTAGGAGGGGTCTCGGAAGCGTCTTGCAAGCGTCTCGGAAGCGTCTCGCAAGCGTCTCGGAAGCGACACCTCGGCCGGCGCCCCCTTCCACAGCACGAGGAGGGCGGCGTGGCAGTGGGCGGCGATGCTGCGCCCCGCCGTGCCCGCCACGGCCGCCTCGACCCCGCCGTCGCCCCCCGAGGAGCCGGCGGACGAGCTCGCCGAGCAGCTCCCGCCCGCCGCCCCAGCCGCCGCCTCCTCGCCCGCCGCCGCCGCCTCGGCGCCCGATGCGGAGGCGGTGGCGGAGGCGGTGGCGGAGGCGGTGGCGGAGGCGGAGGGGCCGGCGGAGGGAGCGGCGGCGGCAGCGGAGGAGGAGGCGCCAGCGGAGGAGGCGCCAGCGGAGGCGGCGGCGGCGGCGCGCGCGGCCTTGCAGAGCCGCTCGACCCGCGGCTTTGTCTCGTTTGCGAAGAGCTGGAAGGCGGTGCGCGCCTTGACGGCTGGCTTGGCAGGCGACCCCGCCTTGCCCTTGGTCAGAGTCCCCGCCGCCGCCGCGGCCGCGCTCTTTGCCGCCTTGGCTGCCCGCGCGAGCCGCGCCTGTTCACAGGGAGGGTGTGTGAAGAGACGCTGTCCGCAGCTTCTTGCCTCGTGCGATTGAGCCGGCGCCTTCTCCGCCTCGCCGAGCCCCTTCCACTCTGCGCCCAGCCGAGACATGACCTGCGTCTGGCTGAAGGAGGGGCCGTGCAGCGCCTAGTCGACAGCTCATCAGGGAGGTGTGAACAGAGAGGTGTGAACAGAGAGGTGTGAACAGGGAGGTGTGAACAGAGAGGTGTGAACAGCGCCTAGCTAGTCGACAGCTCATCGGGAGGCCACACACCCATATGGTCCACTTCACGGTCGATCGAGCGGTGCAAAGCGGTGGAGTGCAGAGACGCGACACTGGCGAGCGTGCGGCTGCAGAACAGCCGACCACACACCCGAGTACGTGCCGCGAGCCGCGAGCGCTGGTTCCACGACAGGGCGCCTGTTGCGTCCCGCATCTAGAGCTGCCCGCCCTCAGCTCGGCGGTCAGCGACGGCCGCCTCTCCATGCAGAACTGCATGTACGCCGTCGCGGGCTTGGAGGGCTTGGCGGACCCGGCGGCGGCACCCGCCTGCTTGGCCGCCTGCTTGCCGCCCTTGCCGCCCTTGCCGCCCAGGAGGGGCGAGAGAGGGCAGCCGGCCAGCCGCAGCCGCACCCCGCCGCTGCTCTCCACGCGCGCCGGAGAGGGAGGGGAGAGGAGGCCTCCGCCATCGCAGGCCGGCGCGGTTGCGTCGCCCGCCGCGCCGCCGTCCGCGCTGCGGTGCGACGCGTGCAGGGCCAGCTGCGACGCGTGCCTCTCGCGGTCCGCCGCCGCCTTGCCCTCGTACACGCTCCTCTCGGCAGCGGGCAGCTGCTCCCAGGAAGCCTTGAGCAGAGCCTGCAGCTCCTCCTCGGTCGCCTGCGGGCGCTCCCGCTTGAGCGCGCGCCGCGCCTTCGAGGTGTAGTAGTTCCACGCCGTCTGCGCCCGCCGAGGCGCCTTTCGCGGGTCGTACTCTGCAGCCTCCCCGACTCGGCGCTTTCTCGCGCCGCCGTCAGCGCCGCCGCCCACCGCGCCGCCGTCAGCGCCGCCCACGCCGCCGCCGCCCGCCGCACCGCCGCCCGCGCCGCCGCCCGCCGCGCCGCCGCCTGCCGCGCCGCCGCCGCCCGCCTCCCCCGACGCGAGGGAGCGATACGCCAAGGGCGGTGGTTGAGGCGGCAGCTGTGGCGACATTGGGGGAGGGAAGACGTGCTCGAGGCCATGCATGCAGGGGTCGGCGCGGCCTGCGACCGAGAAGGTCCGGGTGAGGCGGGGCACGTGTTACGGTCACGTGACGCTCTAGGAGGAGGACGGAGGGTACAGACCCTGGCGCTGACCTGCGTGCTGCGCGTCAGGCACGGCTGCGACTGCACTAGTCGGGAGCATGATCGACGGATTAGCGTGCGCAGCAGCGACCAGCACCCTCGGCACCGCAAACGCTTGCGACGGTGAGGTCACGCTCAAGCCCTGCCCGAGCGGTAAACTCTCGTTCGCCGGGCTCCAGCCTCCTTCCAGCATCCTTCAAGCCAAGCTGACTGACTGCCCTACTGTAGGCGGCCCGCCTGAGCGAAAAAATCTTTTTCATGGGGGGCACGCTTGCTCGCTTAACACTCACACACACACCGAGCCCGACACATTCGTACGTGTATGCACAGTTCAACACAGAGCACTCAATGCTCCCTGTGTGTGAGTACCAGCCCGCACCAGCACGCACCAGTCCGCTCCTACACCACTTCAACAGAGCACGTACACATGTCCCACAAACATACACGCACTCCCCCCTCACACTTTTGCGTGATGCGCTCCCTTCTCACTTCCCGTCTCCCGTACGAACCCCAATTGCCGTGTCTTCTATGAGATGCCCCCCTCGTTACATTTCGTTCACGAAGTGGGCATGTGCGCCTAGGGTAGGGCTCACGGCCACGGAAGCGATGAGCAGCGAGCAGAGCGTGAGCACATCGTACACGGGCAGATTGAACTTCTGGCGCAGCGCGTTCGAATAGCCTGTGATCTCATATTCGAATAGTAAGGCCGCGAGAATCGGACGGCTAGGGGGCCAGGGCCACCCTCCACCTGGCAGCTCGGTGCACTCGAGTAGAATCGCACCTTTGGGAGGAGGGATACGCAAGGATGGCGGGGAGGATTTGTGCAGCACGAGCTGCTGGGGCGCACAAACCGATAGGGCTTGGTGCTGTGGCCGTGAAGGCCTCCACCACCGCCCCGACAATGCCAGCCTCTGCGAGCAACGGGTCCACAGTTGTACCTGAGGCAACCTCTGCGCCGAATCCGCGCACCTGCTCCAGCCCGCAGACGCGAAGTCTCTTCAGAGGGACATGTGGCGGAATCAGTGTTTCCGCGTGCCGCTTGAAGTTCGTGCCGTTGGAGGTAAGGACGAGGATGACGTCCTCTGGGGGCAGCGACAGCAAGAGAGTCGGCAGCAGGTCGAGAGTCGACATCAGTGTCGGCATCCCGGAGCGCGCGGCGCAGAAAGAGTTGATGTTGGCCATGAATCCGCATGAAGAGGAGAGGCACCGGCACTCAAGCTCGCGAAGCTCGGCCAAAGTTTGCTTGAGATTGGCAAGGATGAGCTCGGGCAGGTAGATGTAGACGACGCCCACAGCGCGCCCATTCACTACCCATGGTTCAGTGAACGAGGGATTGCGTGCACGCGGCGGCTGGTTGCCGCCGACTTCAAAGAGGTGCTGCGGATCGCCCTGAGTCCCGCGGATCCTGACCTCGCCCCGCGTGAGCTGCAGCTGATCAGGTGCGTTCACGGGGTGTCCAGAGACGCAGACGGAGAACGTGTATCCTTCTGCTCTCCTGTAGATGATATCCGTTTGGGACAAGCTCTCCGACCCCTGTAGGCTCTGTGGTGCCACCCCCTGTAGGCTCTGTGGTGCCACCAGATCTCCAAGCACCGCGGTCTTTGCCGTCCGCGGCTGATCAAGTCTGACGATTCCAATCCTCGGAGTCTTAGGCCGCAGCATGGTGATCAATGACTATTATGATTAGGCATCGTGAGCACTGGTTCTGATCTGGCGGTCAGCTGGTGGATCATGTCGGCACGCGATAGCCAGGCGATCGCGTCGTTACTCTGTTGCAGCCGTGAGTTGCAGACTCGTAAACTCCGTAAACTTCTGCGGCTTCGTTAGCTTCTCATGCGCCGCTGTACAACGAGGAAAGTCTCGGCTTGGATTCACGCCCCGGCGGGGGTGATATTGGATGGGCACCCCGGGCCGCGCGAGAGAGGGGGCTGTATCTCCCGCGATGTGTCGCGGACAAACCCAAGTAGACGCCCGGTCGGGCGGGGGGGTGGTACGCTGCGTGGGGCGAGATTTTAAATGTTATTGCTAAAAGCTCTCTCTCTGTCTCTCTTCTCGCGCCGCGCCTTGACTCGGCGTGCGGAGTCACCCTCGCGACTCGGCGCTGAGCGACTCATTGCAAGGTTGCGGGCGAGGCGCATCGCCTCCCGCTCGTCGGTCTTGTCCATATAGCATGCATGCCATTCCGCCCGTGCGGCCTCGAGCTCCGCGCCCTCGAGGCAGCCAGCAATGCGCCGTGGCGGCAGTCTGGGGAAGACGTGCATTCGGCCGCGGCCTGGGTCCCCAGGCGCGATGGGGACGGTCTTTCTGCACGCGCCGTTGCAACGCCGGGAAAAACTCTGGGGGGCGCGAGGGCCCTAGAGGGTATCCATGCGGGGGGGAGATGGGGCTCGATGGCCCGCCGCAGGCGCCGATTTTTTGGCATGTTTTTTTCTTCTTTTGCGAGATTTTCACTTGTTTCATGGGAATTCAGCATACTTGCGGCCATGCTATCACGCCTTGCGACAGCCTGTCGGCGCTGCTGACCGTGCTATGCTGCACAATTGATCACCTGCATAGCTCGCGGCCTTAGTATCCAGCATTCAGTGACGACCTGATCGTACGGCCAGTAGGAAGGTGTCCTTCCAACGTGTGCACGCTTCTGACGCAATGCGCGTCACAAACTGCCTCAGATTGGCTGCTGGCACTCTCGAGGCTATGCCTACACAGCCTCGCGCGCATGGGCAGTCAAGAGGGACCACGCACCTTCTCAGGACAGCACCAGTGCCTCTCTCTTGGACCGGCAAACTTGGTGGTCTCGTGTCACCAATGTGGGACCAGTGCGGCATCGGCGCATCGCGCCATCGACAGCTCTGAACTGCGCCTCACCACTGACCGGGAAGGCCGCCAAGTGGGCCAGCACAGGTCGCACATTGTGGCAGCAGTCAGCAGTCCATGGCTGATAGCTAGAGCAGCAGCGTCAGGGTCTCGCAGGGTCGGATCGTGTCAAGCCTCTCGCCCGGCCGGCCGCGTGCAGACGTCGGCCTGTCTGCTGTCTGGAGTGATCTGTCGGCGGTCAGTACGACCGATCAGGTCGGAGTTTTCTGATGGTTAGAGGGTCTATCTGTATGTACTCCTCGAGATCTCTCCAAATCTGCCCTCTACTTAACCGTACTCATTCGGGAAGTTGGTAGTATGAGCGAGTATGAGCGCCGGAGCCCCGTTTCCGCACTGCTGCGCGGCGCACGGTGCCTCCGGGGGCCCCCGCGCCCCCCCAGAGGGGAAAAATCCAGAGGCGGTGGGGCCGGAAAATTGGAGTCCGCTACCCGCTTGCGGAGCCTGCGGAGGTGGCGGGTTCTTCCCTCCTCATCCATCTCGTCCATCTCCAGATTGTCCGGCGTCTGAACCTTCTGAGAGGCGAGCGCGAGCCCGTTGTTCAGCCTGCACGGGCGTGCATAGCGGCGCCGTCGCGGGCGGAGCCGTCGCGGGTAGCCAGAGGCGGCGGGCCGGCGGGAGAGGGCGGTGGTGCGAGCGGTGATGATTTGGCCGCCGCCGCGTCCTCTTTGCGAGCGCTCTCGACTTCCGTCCCTTTTTACGCTTCTCCCCCCCCTTGCTCGCGTGTCCGACTTTGCTGCGGGTCGGGCCAGGGCTTGTCAGCAGGCTACTTGGGTTTGTCTGTTGAGTCTTAGGTATGTACTTTTAGCTTACTGGGAGAAAAGGGAGAGGGGGTTGGTCTCTCTCTCTCTTAGGTATGTTGTTGGCAAATCAAGACACAGAGCTCACACAGAATCACAAATGTATTGAGGGTCAAGAAAAGAGAGAATCGTACCGACCGCCGCCGCGACGAGGCCGCCCCCCTCCCTCCTTTGTAGGCCGTCGCGTCCGGTGCCCAAGAGGTGTCCAATTTGATGCCATTCTTATGCGTCAGCCGAGCCGAGCCTAAGTGCTCTGCCCGCACCGCCGCACCGTCGCGTGCCTTGCCTTTGAACATATTGAAGCTGCCTGTCTGGAGCCACACACGGAACTTGGCTTCTGGATTTGGTGCTCGGCTAGGGCGTCGGTTGCGTAGTCCTTGGACCTTGCGCTGGCCTGCGGCCTGCGCGGCCCGCTGTGGGGTCTCCCTTGCGATTGGCTCGGTGCCCCGCACGGCCACGCCCGCAGGCGCAGCGCGTTTGTCATCAAGGACAAGGTTCAAGCTCCGTCGCGGAAGCTCAAGTTGTCACATGCCCTCGCGGCCCCCCTCGCGGGGACCGGGGTTCAAACATCAAAAATGAAAAAAGTGCCAAACACGATTTTTCTGTGTCTCTCCTCAAATTAAGTCTTTTCTCACATCTCAGGCGCGCGAAAGGGACCAGAGATCCCCGCACCCTTGGCGCTTCCGCACAATCAAATATACCGTTTATTCGCGGTTGTTTTCAATGCTCGCGTCTCCCGGTGAGCGGTCCACAGTGTTTGCCCCCTCGACCCCCTTCCCCCGACCCCGCCGCAGCAGCATTCGCACGGAGTTCTGCCGTGTTCGAGCGCGCGGTGGGCGATGGCGGCGCGGGGCGGCACCGCCTTCGGCGTAGAAATAGGTGGACGACTGCGCGAGCTCGCGCCATCAGCGCGCCCCCAGCCCGGGCCATCAGCGCGCGTACATCGACTGGCGCGACGCGCCGCCGAAGCGGTCGAACTTCGAGGCGGCCGTCGGCTTTGGCGGCGGCTGCGCCGGCTCCGTCTCCATCGCGGAAACGGTGGAGGGGCAAGCCGAAACGTCGAGCGACGCCGCCTCGGCGCGGCGGGCGGTGCGCTCTTTGTCGAGCCACGCGCGGACCGTGCAGAAGAGCGACCCCGACGCGCCGCCGCCGGCGGGCGGCGCGGCGGCGGGCGGCGCGGCGGCGCTGTTGGAGACGACGACGCCGCGCTCCATGCGGATGATGTGGGTGGGCCAATCGTCGAGGCCGTCGAAGATGTGCGTCGAGTAGATGACGGTGGCGCCTATGGGTCGGTCAGCCAGCCAGTCAACTCGTCGGCTGCTCATCCGCGTCGTCCGAGTCGGTGGCGGAGGCGCCGCGCTGCTCGGTCTCCTCGCGCAGGAACTGGAGCAGCGCCTGCCGCGAGAGCACGTCGAGGTCGGTCGTCACCTCGTCGAGGAGGAGGAGCTCCGACGGGCGCAGCAGCTTGAGCAGCAGCTGCGCGCGCCGCCGCTGCCCGTCCGACACCTTGTGCAGCCGCCACTCGAAGTCGAGGTCGAGCAAGCTCGTCAGCCGCTCGAGCCGCGCGCTGACGACACTCTGCGGGAGGCCGTCGCGGACGAGCGAGTCGGCGAACGCCTTGGCCATGAAGCCGACCGAGAAGTCTGCCTGGAAGGGCACGCCGCTGCCGACACACGCGACCTGCCGCCGGGCGGGGGAAGAGTGGCTGAGATGTGTGTGTGTGTGTGTGTGTGGAGTGGCTGGGATCTGTAGCCCTTCAGCGCTAGGTGTAGCCCTTCAGCGCTAAGTGCAGCTGACAATGCAGAAAACGACGGCCCCGCCGCCGCGCGCAGCTCTCTCGGCCCATCTCTCTCGGGGCTCGTCTCCGCCTGCCGCGTCCAGTCGCCCGAGAGCATCGAGACGAGTGTGTTGAGCTTCGTGTCGCCGAACGCCTCGCGGCCGAGCACGTGCAGCTGCCCGTCGGCGACCATGTGCTTGCCGCCAATCAGCCGGAGCAGCGTCGTCTTGCCGGCGCCGTTTGCGCCGACGAGCAGCGAGCGCGAGCCGCGCGCCACGCTCAGCTCGACCCCGGCCAGCGCCGCCCGCCCTCCGCCCGAGTACCCCCAGCGCAGCCCGCGGATCGAGACGGCGGCGGAGGGGTCGGCGGCGGGCGGCGGCGGCGGCGGCGCGGGGCCGCGGAGGCGCGACTCGAACTCGGGCGAGAGCTGGAGCAGGAGCCGCTGCACCGCGCAGAAGAGCCGCCCCCACCCGCGGGCCGCCTGCGCGGGCGGCGCGACGAGCAGCGTCGCCAGCTCGGCCATCGGCTTGCAAAACTCGAGCTTTCCCTTGGAGACGTAGGCGATGTGGGTGGGCCAGTCATCGAGGCCGTCGAAGATGTGCGTGCAGTAGACGATGGTCACGCCCCGCTCCTCCGCCTCCTCCCGCAGGAAGGCGAGCAGGTCCTGACCGAGGCGGGCGGGGGGGCGGGGGGGGGGGGGGGGGAAGGGGGGAAGGGGCTTTGCGGAGGGGCGCCGGGTGGAGGGCAGCCGGTGGCAGAGGGCGTGGTTGGCGGCAGCGGCGGCGAGAGCGCGGCTGGTCGGTGCCTGGCGAGGCTCTGGGCAGCCACATGGCACGCGCGGGATCGATGGGCTTGGGCGCTGTGAAGTCAACTGCCGAGCAAGTGTCTGTGAAGAGTTCCATGATCGGAAGCGTCTCGGAAGCGTCTCGGAAGCGTCTCGGAAGCGTCTCGGAAGCGTCAGTGCCACCTGCCGCGCGAGCAGGTCGAGGTCGGTGGTGATCTCGTCGAGGAGGAGGACGGACGAGGGCTTGAGCAGCTTGCACAGGATCTGCACGCGCCGCCGCTGCCCGTCCGAGACTGTCGTCAGGTTCCAACTCGAGTCCACCTCGAGCAGCGAGACCAGCCGCTGCACACGCGTCGCGTCGACGCCGACAGAGTGCGACTCGATGAGGCGCGAGACCTCCATCGCCTGGTAGGGGACGTTGTGCCCCACAAAGGCGACCGTGTGCGTCCAGTTTCCGGTCAGCAGCGCCAGCTCCGTTGCGAGGGACGTGTCGTGGAAGGCGGGCCGGCCGAGCACGCGCGCCATGCCCTCCTCGACCATGTGCTTGCCTCCGAGCACCGAGAGGAGCGTCGACTTGCCCGCGCCGTTGGCGCCGAGGAGGAGGGTGCGCGAGCCGGCGGGCAGGGAGAAGCTCACGTCCTGCAGCGAGGGTGGAGGAGGGCTCGGCGGTGTGCGGCAATGTGGCGAAGGCGGCGATAACGGCGGTGGTGAGAGAGGTGAAGGGCTCTGGTACGGCCGCGTGCTCGAGAGCGGCGGGCTAGGTGGCCAAGGCGCCTCGAGCTGCAGTTTGTACGCTGCCCGCGTGCCCGACAGGTGCTGCTGACGGGGCATGTCCATGGAGAGGCCGCCGTCGTGCGTGCCGTGCGCTTGGGTGCCCTTCTTGGCGGCGGCCTTTGTCACGTCATCACCGACGAACTTGGCGGTGGTGGAGATGTTCTCGGCGACCTCGTACGAGAACCAGAGGTTCTGGCAGGAGAGCGCGGAGAGCGGGGGGGCAGCCATCGTTCGCTTGCCTGTGTGGCCCTTCTTGGAACCTTCCGCATGGGCACCAAAGAAAAGCGAAAGTCGTGAACTAGCCGGGGCAGTCGGAGAAGGGGCAACTCCGTGCACTGACGGTCGGCCGTCAGAAAACACGCCTGCGTGGATCGCGTCACACCAATCCTCGCTACCCAACGCGGCCAAAGGATATCCACCTCGAGAACCTCGAGAGAGAGAGTACCACGAACAAAGTCAAAGAAATCGAGCGAAAAGGCTAGCAGTTCCTTAAAATCTGGGCGGGCTGTGCCGTTCTCCGTGCTCTCCCATCCCCGAAAATCCCCAAACGCAAAAGACAAGAGAGACCCGTGCTCCCCCTTTGCTCCCGAGCGCCACTTGCACTTGTCGCTCCACGCGGCGGTGTTGGACTGGCAGACCGGAAAGCATGGGGGCGAAGGGGCTGCCAGGGGCTCTGGGGGCAAGGGGGGCGGCGGTGAACACCCTGCGCAGGGTGTTCACGGATCTCATCCTCCCATCCCCCTCCCGTGTAGCGTGTTATGAACACCCTGCGCCTGCGCACCCCCCAGGTTCAGGGCTCTCTTGCCCGCAGCCCGATGCCAGTTGTCCGGCGGCCCGCTGGCGAGAGGCGGCTTCTTAGGTCCCCCCGGCCCTGTCGATTGTCGTGCCGGCGTGCGGTTAAAATGAGAGCGCACCGTCCAAGATTAATTGCTCAAGTGCTCCAAGTGCTCGGAACCCCCAAACTCACACGTCATTTGAGGTGTGAGAGATGGGCTCTGGTAGGAGGCTCCACGCCACCTGACTCGCGTCGTGCCACCTGACTCTCGCCTGGAGAGGCCTCTTAGCCGAGGCACACGTGGCAATCGCCACGTGCGCCACCAGGGATTTCGGCCATTTTAGAGCCTTTTGCACAAAAATGCAGGTGGCTTTAGCCACTTGCTCCATGAGCAAAACAGTGCAAAAAGCACCTGGAGCAGATGGCTTACGCCGCCTGTGGACATGGGCAAAATAGTGCAAAAAGCACCTGGAGCAGATGGCTTACGCCGCCTGTGGACATGGGCAAAACAGTGCAAAAAGCACCTGGAGCAGATGGCTTACGCCGCCTGTGGCCATGGGCAAAACAGTGCAAAAAGCATCTGGAGTAGATTCCAAACGCCGCCTGTGACCATGTGAACGCTCGGGTGGCGCCAGGTGGCTTCGGCCCCCTCCAAGCCACCTGCCCCGCCCCCCTCGCCACACCTGGAGGGCTGGAGCACGTGCGCCACCTGGGCCTGGGCAGGTGGCAACAGGTGGCTACGGCCCCTCCAAGCCACCTGCATGCCCCCCCTCGCCACACGAGGAGGGCTGGAGCACGTGCGCCACCTGGGCCTGGGCAGGTGGCTCCAGGTGGCTTCGGCCCCTCCAAGCCACCTGCCCCGCCCCCCTCGCCACACTTGTAGGGCTGGAGCACGTGCGCCACCTGGGCCCGATGGGTGGGCAGGTGGCGCCAGGTGGCTTCGGCCCCTCCAAGCCACCTGCATGCCCCCCCTCGCCACACCTGGAGGGCCGGAGCACGTGCGCCACCTGACGCAAGTTTGAATTCGGAAACGGAAAATCCGAGCCACGGAAGGGCTGGCCTGCCAAACGCGAGCCTTCCCGCTCCTCCCCGCGCTGCAAACTGGGACTGTGGGGTGTGTGAATGAGGGCCTGCGGCGGTCGTCGGCGGCTACAATCAATGTCCGGCGTCGACATAAGCCTGGGGCTTCAACCCGGCCCGCGCGGGCGTTTGGTGTGGCTGCAAATACCGCAGGAGCCGGTGGCTGCGCTGCTCACGCGCCGTTGCTGCCGACGCTGAGCAGTCTGACTCGCCAATGAGAAGACTGCCCAATAATACGCCATCTCTCGATCCCCGATAAACCAGGCCATGCAGAGCTTTGTTTGTCGGCCTCGTCGACGTCGTGTGCCGGCTGCGCGGTAGAGTTGCGAGAGTGGATTGTGGAGGCGCGGCGGGGGCGGCTCGTGGTGCCGAGTATAGTACATTCCTATTCAAAAGAACACGCACGATGAAATTCCCGAAGTGACGCCCAGGTGGCGCACGTGCTCCAGCCCTCCAGGTGTGGCGAGGGGGGGCATGCAGGTGGCTTGGAGGGGCCGAAGCCACCTGGAGCCACCTGCCCGGGCCCAGGTGGCGCACGTGCTCCAGCCCTCCAGGCAGGTGTGGCGAGGGGGGGCAGGTGGCTTGGAGGGGGGCGAAGCCACCTGGCGCCACCCGAGCGCTCACATGGCCACAGGCGGCGTTTGGAATCTACTCCAGGTGCTTTTTGCACTGTTTGCCCATGGCCACAGGCGGCGTAAGCCATCTGCTCCAGGTGCTTTTTGCACTGTTTTGCCCATGTCCACAGGCGGCGTAAGCCATCTGCTCCAGGTGCTGTTTGCACTGTTTTGTCCATGTCCACAGGCGGCGTAAGCCATCTGCTCCAGGTGTTTTTTGGACTGTTTTGCTCATGGAGCAAGTGGCTAAAGCCACCTGCATTTTGTGCAAAAAGCTGCAAAGGACTCGTGGAGGCACGTGGCGCTTTCCGCGTGTGTCTCGTGCAAAATCCGGCATTTTGTGGCTTTCAGGTGGCACGACGCGAGTCAGGTGGTGTGGAGCCTCCTACCAGAGCCCATCTATGTGAGGTGTGCCCCGAGCCACTGCCGCCCCCCGTGCTCCGAGATGCTCTCGGCAGTGGGCGCGGCCGTCCCAATCCCAGCTGCGGGGATGTGTACTGGTGGTGCCACAGCACGGGGGATCCGCGGCCACAAACCCCTCCATGATTTCGGCGACGAAAGGGAAATCGCCCGGGTGCGAGTGGAGGCCAAACTTTGCGCCGAGCAGTGTGAGTGTGCGCAGCCACTGCCGCCGCCTCGGCAAGGTCCCGCCGCGCTCGACGAGCTCGTCCCGCCGTGACACCGCGAGCATGCGGAGCCGGCTGCGCTCCTCGGAGCCGCGAGTGAGCATCGCCGCGTGAAAGCTGAGGTGGACAAAGGCGGTGCTCAGCTGGGGGCGCGGGAGGCGGGAGGCATTTCGTGGGCGTGCCATTGGCGAGACCTGTGGCGTGTGGTGGGTGGAGAGGGCGGCGGAGGTGGAGGCGGGGGGGTGGAGGGTGGCGGTGGTGCGGCGGGCGAGATGGTGCCTACCGTCCCATCTCGTGGCGGTGCACTGGACGCATTGGACGCGAAAACGGCATGGTCTGTGAGCTGTTCACGGTGATGAAGGTGGTGTACGTGAGGCAAAGGCACAGGCCGCCGCACGTAAGCAGATCACAGTCGGCCATCGACGCACCGCGCATGGCGCCGGCTTTCCCACCTCGTAAAAGTCGACGGGGAGACGACCGACTGACTCTACCCATGCTTCGAGGTCTGTGAGCTGTTTGGAACCGCGTCCTCGCAAAGCTCCGTCGCAGGCCCCGACGGCCTCCATCATCCCATCAAAGTCCCATCCCATGAGATGATCATCTCGTGAGTACGGCACACCAGCATCCGGAGAGCAGCTGGGCCTTCGGCCGCCAGGTCGTAGGGGCCCTTGAGAGGCAGCCGTGTGCGGACGTGCTGAAGCAGCGCGGACGTTGACCTTGGCCAGCTGGCAGTGCACCCGTCGCCGCTTGCTCTCCTCGAGCCTCTCGTTGAGCTGTCGCCGCCGCTGCGTCTCGAGCTTTCGCTCTCGCGCCGCGGCAGCCTCTTGGTCGAGTTGCCGCTCCTGTTCCTCTCGGATCTGCCGGAAGCGCTCTCTGGCAACGCGTCGCCAGCGCCGTCCATCTCCTCGGCGGGGAAGTCGTCCTCGCTGGCGTCCTCCTCCTCCTCGGCCGGGAAGTCGTCTCGCTCTCTGACATCGCTCTGACACCGCTCAGCGACGGGCAGCGACGGGCGCAATCAGTACTCTGCAGCGGCGCGGGAACTGCGGGTGAGGCCAAGCCCAAGGGGCGGTGCCCTCCTGCAACACAACCACATCCATTGGATCCTCCATTCAACAGCCTCGTCATGCCGCCTGCCAAGAAGACGCCCGCCAAGAAGTCCGCCAAGAAGCCCTCGGGCGGCGAGAAGAAGCGCAAGAAGAAGCGGGTCGAGTCGTACTCGTCTTACATCTACAAGGTGCTCAAGCAGGTGCACCCCGACACTGGCATCTCCTCCAAGGCCATGTCCATCATGAACTCGTTCATCAACGACGCGTTCGAGCGCATCGCCGTCGAGGCGGGCAAGCTCGTGCGCTACAACAAGAAGGGCACCCTCTCGTCACGCGAGATCCAGACCGCCGTGCGCCTCATCCTCCCCGGCGAGCTCGCCAAGCACGCCGTCTCGGAGGGCACCAAGGCCGTCACCAAGTACACGTCGAACGCCTAAGGGCTAAGCGGACGCCCACCCACCCTCGGTGTTTCTAAACACCACCCTCTCTTGAAGAAAGATGGTAGAAGCTGCCCGAGCCATTCACTAACACTATGCACGCCCTGCGAGCGGGGGGGCGGGGTGCGCACATTGTGTTCGTGCGTCGCCCCATCTCTACTGAATTTTGCGTCGCCCTTTTTTCCCCTTTGGAATTCTTATATTCTTTATGGCGTGTTGTGTGACTGGAAAAAGAAAGAAAGAAAACAGACAACCCAAGGGAGGGATGGGAGGACGGCACGCCGCCACCACACAGGGATTTTAAGGAGAGGGGTGTGATGCGCTAGCCGTCGCCCACCCTAGGGAGTCTGCCTCTTCCTATCTCTTTGTGTGACTGGATTGCGTTTTGCCGGTTTTTCTTACGTCAACCGCTGCAGGGTAGCACGCGGGACAGGCAGCGCTGTCCAGGCAAGGCGCGGGGAAGCGATGCAGCAGGCCAGCCCGTACTTCGAGGCTGGTGGCGAGGCGAACCTCCCCACCCCGGCGCCACCGCTGGAGGCGGCGCCGCTGGAGGACGTTGAGGCGGCGTCCGTGCCGATCGAGGCGGCTCCGCTTGCTGTCAAGACGACGCCGGTGGTCGAGGCGCCGCTCGAGGCGACTGCAGTCGAGGCGATCAGCGACAGTGAG